TTGACTTGGGTTGAGTTTTCTTTTGTAAAGGTATACTTTGTCTAAGGAACTACACCGAATCCGATTGTTAAGTCTTTATACACACAACTTGGTCTCAGGGTTTTTTGTGTAGATATTTTTATGACAGAGGAAGTAATTATCATTTAGCCTGACTTGACGAATGTGATTATATTTAGGGCTATTCACAGTTGTACTAAGTTACTAAGTTTATATCTGTCTATATTTCTGAGATTGGTATCTGGTATTGTAATTATTTACACTATTTACATTGTTCAGACTGTTATCCTCCTCTTTGTTGCCATATTCACGACGTTTCGACCTTCTTCAGGGGATTGGAATTTCGACCCGAACCCTTTATTTCGTCTCGCGAGGTAGATTGTTCTAGTTCCACGTGGCATGCCTCTTCCATCATATCATAGTATCAGTTATCTCCCTTTTACTTCAACTCTCCTAGTTTGTGTCCATGTATTGAATTCACAACTCTCTGTTCAAATCATTGGATTCAACCAATCTACTGGGCCATGTGTCCCCAAGGCGTGGCCACTGTTAAGCCTCCTTGGGGTTCTGTCTCCACACATTAATAGGTTGTCACCCACCTTACATACAATTTCTGCTTTTCATTGATCATCGTTGTTTCGTTTTTTTTATTGCTTCTGGAATATAAAACACAAGAAAATATTGCGAGCAATCAAAGAGCTTCAAATTTGGCGAAAACAATAATATAGATATTAAGAATAATAAGTATATAAGGGATAAGAGGGAAGATGAAAAATCAGTAATTATATACAATAAGGTAATAAAATTTATCAATTGAAATGATTTCAAAAAAATCATATTCAGTTTCTAACCTTTAGGACATCATCGAAAATATTCTTTAAAAGCCTCATTAGATCTAGGCCGTCATGCGGATGTCATTCATGACATCCAACTCGTTCAGAAATATCAAAACTATCATCTGTATACAAGATTTTCTAAGATAATTTATTAATCTGTTTTCAAGTGAATAAATCATTTCGATATTAAAGAAAACAATTTTTCAGCAGACCCTATGAAGTAGCGCTAGACAAACATAAACGAAGAGCTTTACCAAAATATCCATCACTTAAAAACTTCCAACAGCAGCAATGTGAGAAATGGGTAGCAAAGAAAGGAATATATTGTTATAATCAAGATGTTAACTTTCCATAAAACCAAAAACAAAAGATTTGAGAGGAAATCACCACCATTACTAGAAACACCAATAACAGTTAGTGGACATGATAAGTATCATTTTCTAGCAAAGAAAACTGTTTTAATTAAAATATTTGATAAATCTCAACACTAACAGTTCGGTTAAATAATACCAAATGTTTCCTGTATGCAAACGGTTGATTTTACCGTTACTATTTTCATTAAAAGCATTGCGACAATATCTGATGAATAATATTAATTGATAAGAACGCATATATGTTTACCAACAATTTGTGCTACCTGTGTCTACCTTTTTTTTTTACACACGGGCAAACTGGCATTTTTAAAAATCAATTCACTCCAAGCAAGCCATTAATACACTAGGGGGTTACTGAGTGTGAGAGAATATGAGAAAAACAAAACATTATTAAGAATAGAGAACATTAAAAAACAGGAATTAAGAAGACAAATATAGCGATTGACATTTCATTTAAATTTACTGGAAAGAAAAAAGCCAGAAATGTGTTCCATAAGCAAGAAATGCGAGAGAAGAAACTCTTAGCATAGAACTTACGGTTATATCTAGCCGCCATTTCAACTGTAATTGCTGCCAATCTAGTATTGCGTTTAAATTCATAAAGTCTAGATATAGAAGAAAGTTCATCAGAAGAATTAACATTAATATAGTTATAAAAAAAAAGACACAGGGAAGCTACGTTACGGCGGTGGGGGGGAGTGACTGAAGCCGAGATGACATGACAGGTCCAATAAAATTGCAGAAACTTTTCTGGATTTTATCAAGAATTTCTAAAAATATAGAAGGATAACAAGACCAGATGTGTCAGCAATATTCAATGCATGGACGAATGGTAGACTTATAAATATGTAAAAGAGATTCTGGCTAGAAAAAATATTAACTTTCTTAGCAGCAGATCTCGCAATTGATTCAACATAATCTTCTCACTTGATGCCAGCGGAAAAACTTTAGCTCCAAAAGGTGCAATGTGTCAGTTTCTTTGAGGTTAGCATCAGCCATGCTGATCGAAGACAAACAAAAAAAAAAAAAGCTTCTCTCGGACGATTAAAAATGTAGAGATTCGTTTGGGCGCAAAGCCATTCTTTACCCCAGTTGACAACAGATTGTCGGTGTACTATTTTCGACTTTCTTACAAACTTCACTTATCTCTACATTGTCTCTCGTTCAAACTGGAATAATTTCTACCGCTTTTTTTTTATTTTAATTTTTCTTTGAATCTCATGTAAAATAAACCTATACCTATCTATTGTTTATCAGGACGACATAATTTGATATTAAATTACCTGTAAATGATTGATATGTCGAAAAATAAAATAAAACAAAGCAGGATATCATAAATTATCACATGGGTTATTACATGGTACCAGCACGAAGACGTAATCCCTGACGTATTCTTGGGAAATATAGAGGAGTTGCTCCCCTTGTCGCCAAAGGCTTTGACTTCAGAGTCTTTCTAGAACGGCTGCCACCCCAAGAGAGTCCAGAATGTCCTACTATTTAAACCATACTTGATAGGCGGAGAAAAAAAAACGGAATCCAAAGTGAATTAAGACGAAAGTGAACGTTGAAGTCTCAGACAGAATTTGAACTCGTTTCGTCGATTTCAATTTCTGTGCCGATAAGAACAATAACTATTATTTAGAAATAAATATTGAGATTTTCCCCGAGAATAATAGAATGTACACGAATTGCCCAAGCAATTTCTGATTTCAATATACATGGACTTTCATGGAGATTTCAGCGGAAACACGATCAGGTGTCTCATGCTTTCAGCACATCGGACATTTTTTTTTATTAGAATTTCACGAACCATCTTTTCTTTTTCCTGATAAGGAAAGAAAATTTGCTTTCTGTCTTCCCCTCTTCGCCCGTCTCACCCACTTACACGTCCAACCTAAAATGCTCACTGTGCCTTTCAGTTTCAAATAGACGGACCGGGACAATGATTTTTTTATTTTTTTTTTTTTTTTAGAAAAATCCATTCTATCGTTCTTATTTCAGCCATCCATTTTATCAAATATTAAAATGCCACGTTTTACCCTGGAATGCTTGCAACGTAAATTAATTAAGGGGTAAAAGGAAATTTCCTGAATCATACTTATTATAAGACCCAGGTTGTGTGTGTGTCTGTACGTTTATATATTGGATCGGATTTCCTACATTTTTCAACCGATTTCAACAAAACTTCACAGGACTACGTAAAATTACCTTGCGGTGGTTCTGACAGCGCCAAAAATTGGAAAAACAATTGTTTTTGCACGAAATTAATTTGAAACCACGATTAAGAGGCATAAGCTATCAATACGTCAGGAAAATGTCTTTCGTTCCCTGTCAAGTGACGAGAAATATTATAATCTGCTTTGTTTTATTTTCAAACGACATCTTTTCGGCGCAGAAACTAAATAATGCTTGTTTCAAAAAATTTCAAATAAACATTATAATTTCTGAGATTTTCATTTTTTTTTATAAAATGGAAAAATATGGTTGACATGATTGATTCTCTGTCAATTTTGCTGACTAAAAAGATTTTTAACGAAAGTTTTGTTCGTGCTAGGAACGATTAAAAAGTGTAAAAAATACCCCCAAAATACTTCGATCTTTCCTCTTAATAATAACATAAACATTTAGACGATAAAACTTTGTTTTCGTCAAGTTTGGCGTCTTTTTCATCATGCTATGCTAATTTAGCGATCTCATGAAGGTACCTATTAATCTAAAAAGTATGTTCTTTTATCGCATCAAACGAGACTTAGAAATGTTATTTTTATCCAGACCAGATGCTTCATCATAGTCATGAAACATGACGAAATAATGTCTTTTTTTTATATGGAAATCAAGTAGGGCTGATACAACGGGCTATTTTCGAAATCCCTACGATAGGAAATACTCAATTTCGCTATTTGTCATTTTGAAATTGACTTGCTTTGGACTTTCAAAAATATCCCAATTAATCAATCCTATGATGAAGATCATTTTTTATAGCAATTTACTATCAATAGCTTTTAAGAACAGAGCATTTTTATTTGAAAAATGTGTATGTTTCCCTCAAAATATGTGTGTGTTTGTCTGCGCGTGTATTTTCTTAGATTTGGACTGAAATGGACTCAACTTTGCGTTTCACTGGGGTCCCACTATTATGATTTTATGATAGACTAAATTTAATAAATTTTATTTACATTTACTTAGTTATTTAATAAATTTAACAATTCTGAATCGCTACACCAACAAATGTTCTCCGGAACTGGTTTTCATACTATTGCTACCTGCAGACCTCTTGTCTTGAAGAAAGTCATAATAATATGGCTTCCAGTTAAGAGAGAATTCACCGATCTTGTGGATAGTTTACGAAATTAACTTGCTAACCATTGTTCCCAGACAAGCACACTCTCTCTCTCTCTCTGTGTGTGTGTGTGTGTGTGTGTGTGTGTGTGTGTGTGTGTGTGTGTGTGTGCGCGCGCACGCACACGTAAGCCTCCTAAAGATCGAACAGCTATGTAAGGATATTTGAAAGTAAAACTTTGCATTGAAGTAAATACACTAGAAAAAACTGAATAAATTTTACACATAAGTTGGCGTTAGGAATTATCAAAAAATTATAATAAGATTTTTGTAGGCGTTCCTAAACAAATAACCGGTGATGGTGTCATATTTTTTCTATCTATTTTAGTTTTAATCCTGTTTTGTTTCCTTTTTTATTTACTGTCATTTTTTTTTATCCATTCTCTCATCAAATCTTTTTCTTTCTTCTTTATTTTATTGTGTCATTAATGATTTTCATTTTTAATTACGGGTTATGAAAAGGTTTTTTTTTTTTTGCCTTTTTCATTCTTTTCTTTCTGTTTTCTTCTTTTTCTTCCTTTATTCTTTCTTATTTCTCATTCTCTTTTCTTATGTCTTCTTTACCTTTCTTTTCGCTTTCTTCTTTTCTTTTTATACTTTTCTTTCCCGTCTTTTTTTCTTTTCTTTCTTTCTTTCTTTCTTTCTTTCTGTGTTTCTCTTAATTATTTTCAATGATTTTCCTAATGATTTCATTATTTCCTCTTTTTCAGAATCCCTTTCTTTCTTTCTTTCTTTCTTTCTTTCTTTCTTTCTTTCTTCAGTCCAACCACGTTGTATTCGAACATTCTTCAACTTATCATTGCCCTGTTTCCTGGTTTCTTTCTCAGCGTCTCCGCTTGGGTGTGAGAATGTTTGGCCTGACGTCACCAAGTCCCGCCCAATCTTCCTGGACAATTATATATATATATAGATGAAGAGAAGTGTACTTTATCAGTTCTTCGCCAATCAATGGTTCCATTATTTTCTCGAAGAGGTAAGTGTTACACATTATTTATTTACTTCGTCCATTGAATATCATTTCTGTCGATGAAAATGCAAAAATCTGTCTCCTTTACGACAAGGAAAAATTGGAAGACGACACCGTTTGGAAATTAAGGAAAATCAAATCAAAAACGGAACAAAACAAAATAACAACGACAACACTTTGTCACACAACAACATACACATTTATATAAATGTTTATATAATCATATACATAGATATATTCATACATACGCTTATTTATTAACACTTGTGAATATCTCTCTATTCACACACACAAAAAACGCGCACACACACATGTGTGTGTGTTATTAAAAAATCGCTATGACAACGGGATACAAATTTTATCGCAGTTACAATATGTTTTTCTAATTTATCCCTGAAGATGATCTTAGAAAAGATCGAAAGTACTTGGGTAAAAAAAGAAAAACTACAACGCCTTCCTTGATGAATTTCATCTTAACATAAAAAAAACTGATTAGACAACTGCAAAGGTCAGTATAAAAATAAGTAGACACAATATGTCTATATTATTCAATGAAACATGTTTGAACGAAGATATGCTGCCTAAATATATATATGTTTGCATGAAGATATACTACCTAAATATATATATATATATATATATATATATATATTTCCTACTACCCCAAGCGTTATTATGTGCTTAACCAAGCTTGAGTAGACGCCTTGTTTTTTAAACTGTGAATTAGGTCTACCGGCCTGCATATTTAGGAAAATTAATAAAGGGGATATGAATTCTAGCGGGATTCGCATTCGATTGCGTCCTTCTTTATAGGAGGAAGCATTGTCCGATCCGGTTGTAATAGCAGCAAACATTGATTCCTCAGAAGATTGTTGATAACGTTTATCCCTCTAGAGAGGATCATTTGATTTATTTCAAAAATGAAAACACTCCAAAAGGGCTAATGTCAAGGATGTTTTAGAATCGCACTGATGATAGTGGGGAGGGGGACTCACTATGGAGCACTGGTTACACGTCTAGCCTAACAATCATTAATACCGAGGGGAATTTGAGCCACGTTTGGTGCCATTAGGACCAAAGTAAATTCTCTCTCTCTCTCTGTCTTTGTTTCTGTCTGCTTTTCTCTTTCTCTCTCTCTCTCTCTCTCTCTCTCTCATATATATATATATATATATATGAATAAAAAAGAAAAATAGAAAAATATAAGTAGTCAATTGCTGATATCCCTGAAGAGTGGACGGACGGGTCCGCCTACCAAACTCTACAGTCGGGATTTTACATCTGAATTGTGTATGTACACATACATACATCTATATATATATATATATATATATATATATATATATATATATATATGCAATTTTTGTATATATTATTTATATATTATATATGCGCGGTACTTATTGGAAAGTGCTCAACATCAGTGATAGAGCTAACATATTTAGTTGGATTGATGTGAGTTTGTGACCCTGGGTTTCAAGCTATTTCACAAACTCACATCAATACAACTAAATATACAAACATATATATATATATATATATATATATAAGATCTGAGATTCTAAATAGATGTATGCATAGGAAATCCTGGTTATTGGTATAGAGGCTCTGCTTTTTTATTCTCTGTCTTCTTCTGTGAGCAGATTTTATGCTAATTAGTTTTAGTTTTCAATGGTTTTATCAATAAATACTGTTTCATATCATTTACTCTTTTTTTCATCTTACCTTCAAGATCCGTTTAGGAGAAACTTTTGTAGGTTGTTTCTAGCTCTTTAGTATTTATTCCATTTATATATATATATATATATATATATATATATATATATATATATATGTATGTAGGTAACTATACTCGTTTCAAAAAAACCTCAAATTTTTGATTTGCCAATAATCAAATCAATCCCAAAGGAAAAAAAAGGTTTTAAAAAAAGAAAGAGCTAGATACCTGAAAGTCTGTCGAAAAAATCGTACAGATGCAGGTTTAAAGCCCAAAGAAAAAACCCCGACACGAGTAAACAACTAACTAACAAAAGAGCTCAATACAACCGTAGAACAGACCTAGTCAAACCTAGTGAGCCAGACAAACCTACCCAGGTTTCACCTAAGTGGGTCGTCAGGGAAAGCTAGCTAAAGAGGCAAAAGAGAAACAGCATATTTATAGGCGATAGCCAGCTTTCCCTGACGATCCGCTTCGGTGAAACCTGGGTAGGTTTGTCTGGCTTACTATGTTTATATATATATATATATATATATATATATATATATATATATATATATAATATATAAATGATGAAATATTATTTCAAGGTATGCTATAGCTATGGGTTAAATTCTTCAGAATTAGGAATAGAGTGTATGCGAACATAAAAGTGGACATTGAAGTCAACACCCAGATTCGACAGTCTATTTCATGATAAACGCAATTGCCAGGCCATGCGCGTTGTGTTTTATATATATGGGAAAACGTTATATAAAGTGTGTATATATCAAGAACAATTTTAGGGAAATGACAAAGAGGAAAAATTCCTCGTGTTACGTGCCTCGTCCCCCAGGATCCCATTGTGTGGTCGCATCAATTGGGGTATCATAGATAGTTAAGCAACCCTCCCCCATTTATAAGGTCCATTTGGATCAAGAATTATAGAGAGAATCTGATAGTAGGCTGACATTATATGTGCGTGGCGGGGTGAATATTGCGTTTTCCAAATTCTGGTTAGACTAATAAAAGTAATAAAATAGAATTTTATGATTTATGTATAGATCAATACTTTAAAGAATAAATCCTTCATGCGACAATTGATTATCACCTGTACATTAATTTATCTGACAGAAATGACAACAGAAATTAGCACCTGATAATAAATGACAACGAATTTGACAACGTGTCATTAAAGAAAGCACATATTAAAACCAGGAATATTAAATATTCTTCGTCTTTTAAATTTTGACGCCATTTACCTTTGCCTTGATTCGGATCGATCTTACAGTCGTCATCGCAAAGGCTGTATAATTTTGTTCATTCATGATACACAGGAACTTTTCAGATTAATTCTTACAAATCATTTGACAATTTCATCAATGTCACGAAATCTTTCTATTTTTGTATTGATTAATTCAATGAAAATTCAACAAATGATCTTGCTTACTGATCATACATAGGCTTTTATTTCGTTCCACAAATTTGGGAATTTCAGTTTTTGTATTTTTTTAATTGAGCAATTGTTTCTGTATTTAGTTCAAAGTTTAATTGTAACAACGATTCATAGTTTTTTTTTTCGAATTTTACATGTAGCTTATTGAACCAACATTTTCTTTTAAAAATTTTCATTGACGCGATTTTCGTTGTTGAGGACCGATTTTGTAAATTGTACTTTCTACGAAGTTAATTATAAATTCTATATTTTCTAACGAATCGTTGTATTTTAGTTCTCACAATATATCGTAAAAATATTATTCAAAGAAATATTCATATTAACATCCATTTTTTACGAATCTTTTAGTTTGTCACTTCTGCTCTACAACCATTTGTGGGGGTGTCAAAGTTCATAAGTGATTAGCAGACGATAATCTCAATAGTCAATATTATTAGTTATTCTATTCTTTTATTTTTGAATCGTAAATCTTTCAAAAAAGGCGTACTGCAATCAGACCCTCTACCTTTTTCACTATGGGTAAATTATTCACCGCAATATCACAGACTTGTGGCGTGTAACATTTTATTTGATTTTAAAATATTGCATTCTCTAAATCAAATGATCAATAACTAGTATTTACCTGCGTTTTAATCCTTTTCGAATAAAGCAGACGACAGATTGTTTTTATATCTGTCGTCTGCTTTATCAAATAACGATAATAATGCAGATAAAAGACGCTTGGCATTGATATTTTTCTTCGAGATGGCAGAAGGTAATATTTTTTAATAATATAAAAGTTACACATTCTATATAAACCAACACCGAGTCTCTTTTTCGAATAGCTTGCAACAATATCCTAAAAGTATGCTGATAGCTGCATCAAAATTCTTATCAACGCAAAGCAAAATACCTTCATTTCGCTTGAGTTGTTAAACCCAGAGTTACAATCAATGTTTAAAAAAGAAACCTTTTGAAGGTATACGATGGAACACAGAGATGGAAATCTAGCTACTAGATTGCCCTTCCAAAATTTTATCAAGTTTATTGGCAAACATCAATGGCTATTTCATTTTTTTCAATCAACATTCACATTTTGTGCTGAATATATTTTTGTTGAGTCTGATCAGAATTTTGACCTGAGCAACGTTTCTATTTTCTCGTAGATGCAAATAAAAAACGGAATTGTAAGATCCGCACCCTTCTTAAAATATTAAAACAAATTTTTAATTGATGGTCAGTAGCTGTAAGTGAAAGAGATACGGCCATTTTAGAAATTTCGGATTAGATCGTCTTCTCAAAAATTTCAATAGAGGACAAAACTACTCTGAATAAGCAACGACTTGTCTTCTGCGTGCCAGAGATCGCCGTTCGAGTCCATATTGTACTTCAAATGCTGATTTTCAAAGTAACCACGTATGATCAAGATTGACTCAACAAAATGTAAGCTTAATTACCCTTGTTAGTCCCAGTAGGTTCAATTGGATTCAATGAATAACGATACGAAAACATAGAAAAGATTACAAGCGCAATCCGTGAAAGGCGATTGTAGTTTAGTTGCCATTGCTGGAGAAGTAAATAAGAAGTTGTGCAACAGCTTATAATATGGGATCCAAATTAGGGGAAAAGAAATAGGCTAGCAAGAAGCCTCACCCTCGTAGACGAGACCGGAATCAGAAAAAAATAGTTAGAAGTCCGGATGAAAGAAATGGTTGGAAATCATCAGAAGTGCAGTCTCTGGACG